AGCTAAATTCCCATCCACCTTTCTGCCTTGAGGATTACCTTGTTTGCACTAATGAGCAAAATGATTCATCCTCATGTTGGTGGACTTCTAATTTCACGCACATGTCAGAGGAAGGATTTGCCTCCTTGGAAAAAGTTGCTGCCTTGATAGATTAACTGTCTGCTCTATAATTCTCAGCTTAGATAGGGTCGAGCAAGTGTTTCACTTCATTATCATACGACTGCCATCCTAAAGGATCACTTCCAACTTCCTCTCTAATTACTGAGAGATTATTTACTTAATTCCTTACATACAGCTGGGATAGGACATGGAATGCAGATATTGGTTTTTGTTTTGCTTTAATTTTTTTTTCCCCTTAAAAGAAAGGAATCTCAAAAAAAATTAAAACTTATTTTCCATCTATCCCTTCTTTCTCGATCCAGGAACATTTGAGTTTATCGTTAATGCTGGGTCATTTCTAACGCAGCCAATGCAATTGTTGAATTTGTGGTTTTCAGCAGATTTGCAGTTGGGCTTTTCATCTTTGACTAATGATTGCTTCTAAGCCTTTGTGGCATATCCATTTTCCTAACATTTTAAATAAATAGGGAAATGTCATGGAAACCAGTGCTCGTTTCTTTTTCTCTCTATGCGTGTGTCTGCTCTAGTTGTTTTTCTTCAACGCTCATTTCTGCTGCTGTTCAGGAGTGTGAAATACATATTATTCTTCAATGCTTTTAATGTACATTTGGCGTGGGTCATTACAATGAGAAAATGACACAGATGTCGAGGAAACTTCCAAGGGGGATTTAGAAGGATTACAGAAAAAGAACGGTCATGGCATCTATTTATTCACTCGTTTGTATATTTCTCCAGTGATTTTTATTGAGGTGCTACTCTGTGCCGGCGCTAAGCCCTATACTAGGCATACCTTGGTCACTGCCATTGAAAAACCAGTTTGGAGGTTTGTCTGAGTGGGACAGGGATTAAATGAGTGAGGATGCAAATGAGCATATAATTATAAGAGGCATGCAAATGCAGGGTGCCTGGGTGACTGTGTGTTAAATGTCTCCCTTCGGCTCAGGTCATGATCTCAGGGTCTGGGGATTGAGCCCCTCGGTGAGCTCCCTGCTCAGCGGGAGCCTGCGTTTCCCTCTCCCTCTGCCCCTCCTTGCGCTCTTTCTCTCACATGCATGCTCTCTCTTTCTCTCAAATGAATACATAAATTTTTTTTTTTTTAAGAGGCATGCAAATCCTGTATACCAGTGGCGACATTTGTTAATATCCCCACTGATCTCATCAGAAAAGTCTGTCAGGCTCATGGGAATAAATACAAGTTTTCCAAAATTCTAATTTCCCTTTTAAAGCTTGAAGTTTATTGTTCAGTAACTAGTACAATCTATTGTTTTCCTTGAAGTGACAGGCTCATTTCATTTGTTTTTGAAAAGATGCCTGTCACACATAGCTAGTACAGTCCCTGACACCAACAATCACTCAAGGACTCTTTTTAGAGAAAAGCACTGGACCTGGTCACGCAGCAGAGGTGCTGCCTGAAGGCTTCCCATGGGGTCACTTTCTTCTGTTTCATGGGGGTGTTCTTCAGCGAAAAGGGCATTTTTTGAATATTCCCTATTTACTTATGCATTTTCACTATGAGTGCGTGATGGTGAGACATACAAGGGCAGGGGCCCTTGGGTGGCTCAGTCGGTTAAGTGTCTGCCCTTTGGCTCAGGTTCTGATCCCAAGGTCCTGGGATTGAGCCCCGAATCAGGCTCCCTGCTTAGTGGGGAGCTGCTTCTCCCTTTCCTTCTGCCGCTCCCCCTGCTTGTGCTCTCTCGCTCTCTGTCAAATAGATAAATAAAATCTTAAAAAAAAAAAAAGATACAAGGACAGTGATAGTGGTTGTCACTGCCTTGACTCTGGTTAAGATTTGACCTTGTGGAGCCCCTAGGGAAGCACAGACACCACTTTGAGGATGCTGCTTTTGTCTCTCATTCCACAAGCATTTACTATCAGTTTCCTATGGACCGGTTCCTGGGAGGGAGGCTCCATCTACCACCTTAACATCTATCAGATCTTTCTTATCTAGTAATAACCCCAGGGAATCAAGCAGAGCTTAAGGGAGAGACTTCTCGAAAAGGCGAGCCAGGATTCAGGTCAACTAGCGAGATAAAGGATCCCAGGCTAATAGCCCCTGGGCGTGAAGGGGAAAGGCAGGCTCCCAGAACAGGAGAGGACAGCCCCCTAGGAGCTGTGGTCCTCAGGAGTGGATGCCACCAGCAGACCCTCTGGGTCTCCTCCGGTGGCCTCCCTCTCCCCTGCTGGTGCGCCTATGGCACACCCATCTGGAACCCCCAGGTCAGGGGAGTGTGGGCTGCACTTCTAAGCCAGCTTCTCATCGCACAGGGCCACGTGAAGGAGGACAGGAACAGATTTAGATGAGTGGAAGGAGACTCCAGGTGTGGCACGGAACTTGTATCATTTCATTTAATCCTGATAACCCCGTGGAATAAGTACCCGCGCCATCCCCGTCTTGCAGATGGACATAAGGAAACCGGAGATGGGAAACTCTATGCGCAGGGTCTGGATTTGAACAGACCCCGACCCGGGCTCATACCCGGACCTCTAAGCCTTTCTACCACGTACCGTCTGGCACACAGGTGGGCAAGAAGATGGCCACGTGGGCTTCCTTCCGTGAGCTGCTTGCCCGGACCAGTAGAATAAGAAAGGCTATGTGCTGGAAAGACTTGGTTCTTTTTTTACAAGACCCCACACTGCTTTCTTGTCCCCCCAGTTCTTCTTTATCTGCCCAAAGACTCCCCAGACGGGCCAGGACAGGGTAGGATTCAGCCCAAAAATCACAAATGGGTCCTGAGAGCTGGTGGGGAGTCTTCGTCCCACAGCGGGGTCCTGCAGGAGCCTCTCACCTTCGCTTCCTCCGCGGTTGCCCCAGAGACTCCCCTGCCTGGGACAAGGAGTGCTTTTGACAAGTCAGATGAAAACAACAATGATAAACAAAACAGATTTAAACTGCATGGGTCCTGAGGGAAAGGAAAAAAAAAATCAGGAAAACTGGACACTTTGGAATTCATTCCTTTGCACCATCACTAAAAAAGCTTTTTTTTTTTTTTTTCTCATGCTATGTTTAATACAGGGTGCAGACTTCCTAGAGGGTTTCATAGAAACTTAAACCCTTAAAGTCCTCAACTGGATTCCTCTCTTAAAGCTTTATCAATGCCATAGGAGGGAGTTCGGGATTTAGGATTTTTATGATATTTAAACACACCAAAACCATTTACTCCTGTATCGATATTACTGACTACAATTGCTCTCTCCCAAAGCAAGATGCCACGTCTCTGATTATTGCCCTGCTGTGTTGGGTTACCCGAATGCATTTATACAAGATCTGTTTTCTACTTTGTGATGGTTCACATCCCATAATTACCACACCCAGATTGCATTCAGGGCAGTGTCCACGGCATAGCTTCAAGTTAAAAATCATTCCTATCTTCAGGTACTCTCTTTTGGGGAGAAAATGCCTGCTGGGTCCTGTGATGTTATCCAGAGCCGCAGGCCAGCCCTGAGGGCAGAGTGAGTTGTTACCCTCTCCCCCTTCCAGGGGGGCAGGGCCGGTGAAGGCCCGAGGGCAGCTGTGACCCCTTTGGGTAGCATTTTGGACAGGTCACTGTCAGGGGGGAGCGGAGATGTTGAGGGCAGGTGTGGTGTTGGGGTGGACAGATGGGGGCGCTACAGGAAGGGGGAGGGGTGAAGAGGCTGTCACCGCCTGGGTAGGAAGCCCGGAGGACCCGCCCTACAGCTGTGGCATGGATGGAGGGGTGTGCATCCGGGACTCTCAGGAGTTGACTCACAGTCCCGCTGCTCGGTGTCAGGTTGAGGCTGAGGGTGAGGGAGGTGAAGACAGTCTGTGTGCTGGCTTGCTTCCCCCAGTAGACGGTTTTGGAGGCGGGAGGCACCCCACAGCGAGCTGCTTTCCATTGTGAACACGTCCCTTGGTAAGGCGGGCCCCGTTTCATGGGAAGGGCATCCTACAGAATGTGGCTTTTTGTGACCGGCTTCTTGCCCATAGGGGAATGTTTTCTTCAAGGTTCATCCATGTTGCAGCACGTGTCTATGCTTTCTTCCTTTTTACGGCCGAAGGAGTAATAGGACGTCGTATGCATCTACCACATTGGATCTATCCATGCATCAGCTGGTGATGTTCAGGTTGTTTCTACTTTTGGGCTGCGGAGAGTGATGCTGCCCCGAACGTCGGTGCCCATGGTCTGTGTGGGCTCATGTCTGCATTCTCTGGGGCGTGCACCTGGGAGCAAAACTGCCAGGCCACACCCGGCCCTCTATGCTTGACATGTCGAGGAACTGCTAGGTTGTATTTGGTCCCTATCTCCCTAGTAACATTTTGTTGGCTTTAAAGTCTCTTTTATTTGGTAATAATAGAGCAACTTCAGCTTTCTTCCTTTTTTTTTTTTTTTTAAGATTTTATTTATTTATTTGGCAGAGAGAGAGAGAGAGAGCACGAGCAAGGGGAGCGGCAGGCGGAGGGAGAGGGAGAAGCCGACTCCCTGCTCAGCTGAGCAGGAGCCCCACCCAGACCCACTGAACCAGAAACTCTTGGGGGTGGGGGGACCGGGCCCAGCCTTCTGTGTTTTGAAAAACCCTCCAGGTGATTCTGAGGCCTGATCACAGTTGAGGACCCCCGCTTGGGGTATAATGAAGAGCGGGATTTCTGGATTTCAGGCAAACGATCGTTTTTCCAAAGTGGTGGTTGCACGTTCATGCCGGGAACTGTGTGTGTGAGTTCCCGTAGATACACACCCTTAAGCACTTTGGGTTGTCCGATTTCTTTCGTGTCTGACTGCTTTTCCCTGCAGGGAGGCGTGGGCGTGGCGGGTTCCCCTCCGGTCCTGCCTGCCAGCCTCCCTCCCCTGTCTCAGGAGCATGGCCCTGTCGCTCTGCATTGGCTCAGCTGTCACTGTCTCCGCTGTGTGGGTTTGTCTGGACAGGAATACATGCACCATCTGCTTCGCCTGGAGCATCGTGCCGAGGAGCACTTCCTGGAGCACTGGCTGAACCCTCACTGCAAGCCCCACTGCAACAGGAACGTGGTCCACCCCGTGTGAGGGGCTCCAGCCCATCCTCCGGTATGTCCCTTCGCCCACGGGCCTTCCGGGTTAGGGGTGGCCGTGGACAGCACGTGCATGGGCTCAGAGGCTTTGGAGGCGATGGCTTAGGGGAGCCGGCTAACCAGCTGGCTGAGGGCTAGGGAGGGAGTGGCAGGAGTGAGGCAGGGGAGAGAGGTGGCAGCCAGGTCGAGGGGGTTGCTGGGGACAGACAGGGAGCCTGACCCCTTCTGACTCACTGAGAGATCCCACAGAGGGGAGGGTTGGGAGCCTGTTTGCTGTCCAGAAGAGGTCACTCTGGAATACAAAGCTGGAGAAGTTGGCTTGTGGAGACTTGGGTTTTGACAGGTGGGGTTAGCAGCTGCGGCCTTGACCAGTGACATCCATCATAACCATTGCCAGTGTCACCAGGACCAGCAGCTTCTTTCCTGCCTTCCCCTAGCCTTCCGACCCAGGGGTCTGCCCGGCCCACCCATTCCTTCCCCCTCTTGCTCTGGCTTTGCTCTTTCAGGCCACCAGAGCTGGCCTGTCAGCGTTCCCAGGGTGCCTGCGCACCCTGCCTGCTCCCACGCCAGGCGGCTTGCCTCTTCCCGCGCTGGCTCCTCCTTCCCAGATACTCTTAGATAAAGGAACAAATCCCTTCAGAGGGTAAGCCTAGTGGACGCTGGGCCTCCTCTGTCATTTTTATGGATGAAGCAGGACAGGATACAATTGGGTCGTTTATCATCCGTGATTAAGAGACCTCTTACATCTGCGTTGCCGTTGATTCTGTGCTACTGTGAGTCAGCAGAGGAGCACTCCCTCTAGGATGACGCTCTTGAGAACTTCCAGAGGGCTCGCTCTCCCACGAAGTCTCCTGTTTGATCCTCTTAACAGCCCAGTGCCATTTGAGGGCATGTGTTTAACCCCTTTTGATGGAGGAGCTAAGTGAGTGTGATTTAGTACTAACTCATGCCAGGCACTGGCTGGGATGTCAGTCTTCTGCCAACACTGAATCCCACACTCCTCCTGTAGACGGCACTGCCTGGTCCTCTGTGTGTGGGGAGGGGTGGAACAGAATTTCCGTCTTTCAGGGGTGTGGGTTGGGCTGACATCTCTCCGTAAAGGGAGGACTTGGTGCTATTGTATGGGCCCTGGCCAGAGGGGTGGTTTCTGGGTTGAGCGAGCCCCACCTACAGTGGCACCCTCCATGGGCAGACCAGCAGACAGAGGCCTCTGCCTCTGGGTGGGATGGGCCCTGCGGGTGAGCCACGGGTGGGGACCACTGGCTTCTGCAAAACACAGATTCCCACTGAGGCCTCAGGGCAGGCAGCTCGCACTTACGCAGAAATGGGGAAGCCTCGGCAGAGGGGGTGCACCAACTTGGAATGTGGATTCAGAGAGCATTCAGATCGTGAAAAACCGTCATGGGGGGAAAAAGCCCATTTCTCTCTGTTGCCTCATCGACAAAATGAGGGTAGTAAAGGCTCTTCCCTCATAGGGTTGTTCCGAGCATGAAAAAAGTCAGTGTCTGGAACACAGAGCTGCCTGGTACATCCCGGGAGGTGCTAGGAGCAGACGGCTTAGCTTAGCGGCTTCTTCCCTCCCCTCCTCCCCTCCCCTTTTTATCAACTTGATCATCCCATGATCATTCTTTCCTTGTTCTTTTCCAGCAAGCCGTCTGAGAAGCCACGACCCGGCTACCATCAAAATGGAAGGAGGTGCCCTCTTGCACGTGTGTTTCAACTATGAGGACGGATGTGTTCAGACCTCGGGAGCTGCAGGCGTGGCAAAGGCTGCCTTGGGGATTAACGGCAAATATATATATAATAGATGCTGTTTCGTTTTACTAACCTGCGTCACTCATTAAAGCCAATAGTTTAAAGTATAACCCCTCTCCCCTCATGGCCTTCCTACAGGTTTGATGGGGACAGGGCAGGAGGAGAAGCTCAGCCCGGAAGAATGCAAGGGCACCTCGGGCTCAGACGACTGGCAGGCTGCCTGCCCTCAGGGCTCTGGGGAGTCTTGCAGGCCTGCCCTGGGGGCTGCGGAGGCATCTGGTCATCTATTCCCCTCCCCACCTTGTCTGCTGTAATAAATGGTGGTGTTCAATCTGCTTTCTGTGACGTCTCCTTTCTTTCCCCTCCAAGAAAATCTGAGATTTCCCTCCCTGTTTCCTTTGTGAATCCAGCATCAGAAAGCTGTAGATGGAGGAAATGAAAACTCCTAGCAGTTTTTCACAAGGGCCATCTTTATTGGCAAAGAGATGACTTGCCTGAGGCCTGCCCTGGACATAGAGCCATCACTGACTACCAGACGCACAGCCTGGTTTTCTAGCCAAGGATAAAACTTTTCGGTGGAAAGTGGGTTGTAGCTTCTCTATCCCTCATGTGCCCACAACTCTCAGAATCAGAGGTTGCAGGGTCAGAGACCAACAACAGCAGGAATTGGGAGGGCAAGGGAAAGTGGGCTGAAGGGTCCTAGGGAGAATCGGGCATCCTCAAAAAGAGGTACCCTGGGCTACAGAGTGGGGGGAGCCCCGTCCCCTGTCCCAAGGGAGCCTGGGCGGGCTTGTCTAGGGAGCCGTCACAGAGTGTCTCAGGGCCAAACCCTGAGCTAGGATTTTTCTGCACTAGGATTTTCGTTGAATCATCACACCTACTCCATGCACTAAGTAGATGTGGTTATTATTCCCATTTTATAGGTGAGAACACTGAGGTTTACAGAATGTTGATAGTGTATTTGTTCTCGGTCTTGGCTGTAAGAAATTACCAGAAACTTCGTGGCTTAAAACAATGGGAATTCATCACCTTACATTCCGAGGACAGAAGTCCAACCCGAGTCTCACCCCTCAGGGCTGCGTTGCTCTCGGGAGGCTCTACGGATGAATGTGTTTCCTCACCTTTTCCGGCTTCTTGAGGCTCCTGCATGTCTCATCCCCTCCTCCACTGTCAAAGCCAGCAGTGACAAGTTGCACCTTTCTCACACTATGTCATTCCGTCTCTCCTGCCTCTCTCTTCCACTGTTAAGGACCCTCGTGATGACATTGGGCCCTCCCAGAGAAATCAGGGCAACCTCACTCGCTTCAGGCCAGTTGTTAAGTGCCTTTAATTACATCTGTGACCTCACCTCCCCATTGTCATGTAAGGTAATTTACAGGGTCCCGGGATTAGGACGGGGCTATCTTGCAGGGGTGGCAGAGCCATTAGTCTGCCTCCCACAGGCAGTGTGTTGAAGTTCACACAACTGGTAGATTGGGCAGCAGGGATTTGAAGGTAGGAAGCTCCTCACTGCCCTGGGCTGCCCACATGCTCTGTCTCTTTGTCCTAACCCTGAAATCCTTCTGCCTTGGATTCAGTGGTTTTCTCAACTGAGCTCCTTACACCACTGCACCCCTCACCTGGTAGGAGGGCATCCGTTGAGTGCCAGACCCATTTCATGGACTCTGACCTTGAACTCACGGACCCTGACATTGAACACGTGGACTCTGACGTTGACTTGCCCAGGGCATGTGGAACGGTGGCAGACAGTATGCTCCTGCTCAGTGCCCCATGCTGCCGGCCTCTTGGGGGCTAAGAAGTAGGAGCTCAGTATGTGTGTGTGGCCCAGAATGCAGGGGGCTGAGACTAATAGGTCAGAAGGGAGAAAAGGACTAGGGCAGAAGTGAAAATACAGTGGACCCACAGGGAACCAGGTTCTTATGTCTGAGCAGAGGAGGGCCCTGGTTGAGCTTCTAGGAACATTTCTCAGGGGCAAAAGCTCCCCTTATGAACAGAGGAGATGCTTCATCTGTCATATAGAGCCTGGCTTCCAACCTCCTCCCCTTGACACATAGATATGCTTTTCCGGAACACACTCCCCTGACACAGACACAGGGGCTAGAGCACTGTAGTTGACCGTGAGCTTGAGGCAGCCTCACCTTCCCCCTGCTCACGACAGTGTTTTGGAGGGCACGTGAATGATAGCAACACCTTGACAGGACGATCTTGACAGCAGCAGACTTCAGTGCTTCAGACTACAGGCTTGGAGCCAGACTGCCTGCATTCCACTCTTGGCTCCACCACTGACAAGCTGTGTGTCCTCAGGCAAGTGGACTGACCTCTCTGGATCTCAGCTCCCTTCTCTATAAACTGGGAATAATAAGAGTACTTCTCTCCAAGTGTTATTGTGATAATTCTTTTAAAGAGGAAACGCTTCATAAAAGTAGCTATTACTGCTTAAAAAGATTCAAAGATTATTGGCATTACTTCATTAACCAAGATAAAGTGTCTCTCACTCTCTCTCCCTTTATTTATTTATTTTTAACTTTTTATTTAGGGAAAAGATAGTGTTTTGAGGGTCCCAGAGTAGAGAAGGGCTGCCTCTCCACTTAGAAAGAGTTGCTCTGTTCACATTATTGAATCTTCTTTTCTGTAAGCATGGTCTATCTCTCCATTTGTTCAGGCTATTTTTAAATGTTCGTTATTAAAATTTTATGATTTTCTTTGCAAAGACTGTGTGTATCTTTTGTCAGTATTGTCTCTAGATATTATGCAGGACTTTCAAAATTATAACCAAAATTTTCTTACAATTACATTTTCTAGTTGGTTATTCTGGTGCATATAGGAATAAAATTGATATTTATATATTGATTATATCTAGCCACCTCTCTGATATCTCTAACCAATTCTTACAGTTTTTTTTTTCAATTCTTACAGTTTTGAGACAATTACTGTATATGACCTTGGCTTCTCTTCCAAGTTGAGAACAAATTGAGAAGTAGACATAGGAGCATGTTAGAATAAGAACGATCACCTTTATTACCAGTATGGTTCTTTGGAAAATATGGATTAGATCTGTAGCTACAATAGGCTCTTTAATACTCCGTTCCATGATTAATATACTCAGTCACAGACAGGGCTGGAAAACGGCAGGCATCTCCTATGGGCGCTGCCCTTGTAAAAATCCCGGAATGGAGGAGCAGAGAATAAGTACTTTCTAGGGGCGGATTTTTTCCCCAGGACAGCGGAGAGAAAGATACTGAGCTATGCAGGTCTAGCTCCTTCTGCAGACTCAACAAGTTACTCTCTTGAGGGTGAATGGGAGAGCAAAGAGAGGCCAGCAGTGTTACTCTAATGCAGTTACAAACACGAAGAAACATGAAGTAAATGCCCTTCCCATATTATAGATTTCATTGTATTCTCTTTATAAAAAAATAATTGTCCATGACAATACTATTTCTTGTACAATCCTTACACCTTTCATTAGTTTTTCCTGTCTTATTGCTGTAGCTAGGACATCTAGAATAGTGTTGAACAGATGTCATTATAGTGTGTCTTTTTTTTTTTTCCTCATTCCTGTCTTTAAAGGGAATCTATATGATTGCTGTACTCTTTTGGTAGAAAGCTATTATCAAGTTAGGGAAGTTCCCTTCCGTTCCTGATTTGAAAAAAACCTTTATTTAATTTTTTTTAAAGATTTTATTTATTTATTTGACAGAGAGAGAGAGAGATCACAAGTAAGGCAGAGAGACAGGCAGAGAGAGGGGGAAGCAGGCTCACCGCGGAGCAGAGAGCCCGACGCGGGGCTCGATCCCAGGACCCTGAGATCATGACCCGAGCCGAAGGCAGAGGCCCAACCCACTGAGCCACCCAGGTGCCCCGGGTATTTAATTTTTTGAATTCTCTTTTGTGTTAATTGAAATGACAATATTAATTGTAATAACATGAATGTGATTTCCCTAATGTTAAGCCGTCCTTAAATTCCTGAGCTCATTGTGGCTTGTCAGGGAAGGCTTCTTAGAGGCGGGGTGCCATCAATGATTGAGAAGAAATTAGCTGGATAAAAAAGATGTATTGGGGATGAGAGGTAGGGCAAGATGAGGGTGCAGGTGGGGAGTGTTGTTGTAGGAAGAGACAACAACAAGTGCAAAGGTCCTGAGGTGGGGAAGGAGCCAGTTTGTTTGAGGAACTTCCACAGAGCCAGGATGGCTTCACCTCTGAAGAGAGAGGAAGAGTGTTGGCCCCAAGGAGGCAGCCAGTAAATCTCATACAGCCCAGTTAACGTTCTCCTCAAACCTGCAAACTCATCTATTTGATGGAAAACAAGTCTCTGTTTCAGAGATTTTTCATCGGATTAAAATGGACTACTCGATTTTGCATGGCTCAGGTTTCAGGTGGTTCAAATCTCTCTCTTTTAATTAAATGTGGGTCCTGCCTTTCCTCTCTCTGGGTCATGTCACAAGGTTCTTCTTCTCTTGCAGTTTAATGGTAGCAGAGAGCAGTTGTTCTTAAAGTATGGTCCCCATGGGCCAGTAGGAAATTGTCAGACATGCAAATTCTCAGACCCCACTTAGACTTTCTGAATCAGATACTCGGGGGCTGAGGCCCAGCGAGTGATCTGGGTTTTAGTGATCCTTCCAGGTGATTCTGACGTACTCAAGACTTTGCGAACCATTGGATTAGAGCTTCCTGGAGCTTCCTGAAGCTTCCCAATGTTGTGGAAAGAACCCAAGACTGAGAGATGGCAGGCCTGAGTTCTGGTCCCCTTTACTCATTTCTCCAACAAATATGTTTGAGTGCCTACTGTGTGTGCCTTGCACTATTTTAGGTCCTGCAGACCCAGGGATGAACAAGACAGAGAAAGGCTGATTCTAAAAAAAAAAAAAAAGTAGTTAAAATAAAATTCACATAAAATTCACCATCTTAAAATAAAATTCACATAAAATTCACCATCTTAACTAATTTAAGGCATACAGGATAGTGGTAGTTAGTACATTGACAATATTGTGCAACCATCACCACCGTCTAGTTCCAGAACATTTTATGACCCCAAAATGCGACCCTGTACCCACAAAGCGGTCACATCCATTTGTCTTTCTCTCTGGCCCCTGGCAACCACCAGTCTGCTTTCTGTCTCTCTGGATTTACCTATTCTGGACATTTCATATAAGTTGAACTCTACAATATATGGCCTTGGTGTCTGACTTTTCACTTCTTATATGTTCTTAAGAGTCATCCGTGCCGTGACACGCATCATTCCTTGATATGGCTGAGTCAAACCCATTGTATAGACAGATTACATTTTGCTCACCCTCCATTAGCTGATGGACATTGGGGTTGCTTCCATATTTTAACTATTGTCAATAGTGCTGCTGTGAACATTTGTGTGCAAGGTTGTGTTTTTTTTTTTTAAGATTTATTTATTCATTTGAGAGAGAAAAAGAGAGAGAAAGAGCGAGCAGGGGGAGGGGTAGAAAGAGAGGGAGACAAGTAGACCCCTTGATGAGCAGGGAGCCTAATGTGGGGCTTACACCCAGAACCCTGAGATCATGACCTGAGCCGAAATCAAGAGTTGGATGCTTAACTGACCGAGCCACCCAGGTGCAAGTTTTGGTTTGAATATCTGCTTCCCTTTCTTTTGGGAATATACCTAGGGGTAGAGCTGCAGTGTCATACAGTCACTCTATCTTGAACTTCTGGGGAGTCACCCAACTTTTCCATAGGGGCTGCACCATTTTACATTCTCTCCAGCAGTGCTCAAAGGTCCCGATATCTCCATGTCCTTGCCAACATTTGTTATTTTCCTTTTTCTTTTCTTTTCTTTTCCTTTTTTTTTTTTTTTTTTTTTTTTTGATGATAGCCACCCTAGAAGGTGTGAAGTGGTATCTTATTGTGGTTTTGATGTGCATTTCCCTACTGGCTACTAATGGTAAGCATCTGTTCCTGTGTCTATTGGCCATTTGTATATCTTCTTTGGAGGAATGTCCCAGTCTTTTGCCCATTTAAAACCTTGGCTGCTGAAGGGCTGATGTTTTTGAGGTGCTAGGAGCAGAGCTTACTAAGGGTAGATAGAATCTGGGACACGTTTCTGAGCCTCTCCTGCCTCAGTTTCCTCTTCTAAATAGTGAGGATTGTAACAGAACCTGGGGTAAAGGATGGCCGTGAAGACTGAGGAGCCTGCTGTGTGTACAGCTCCTGGGACTTTGCGTGGCATGTGGTGGCTCTGTGCTGTGTAACCGATGGTCCTTCCTATTCACCTGAGATGAGACTAACAATAGTAACGGAGCAAGAAGTTACCAGAGATTAATGACTGCTGGGAAGAAAATAAAACCGTGATGCAACAGACAGTGACTGGAAGGCTATTTTAGGTTGGATGGACAAGGAAGGCTTTTTGGAGGAGGTGACACTTGAGCTGACACCGGAATGACAGGAAGGAGCCAACTGCCTGAGGATTCATATACCGGAAGAGCTGAGGGAACAGCCAGGGCAGAGTCTTAAGACAGGAACAAGCCGGCCAGTTCAAGGAGCCTCTTGGGAGAAGGACAGGGCTGCTGGGGTGGGGGCTGGGGGCCTGGGCTTTCCCTGCGTGCAGTCTTGGGGGCAGCCCAGAATGAGAGGACGAGGGCTTTAGCGTCAGGAAGCCTGGGTGTCCAGGTCTCTATGTGTTAGTTAGGAAACAGAGGACGAGTGACAGCCTATTTGGGAAAGTCCTCCGCTTTCTCATGGTAAAAGAGGGGCTGGTTATTTCCACTTCATGGGTCTGCTCTGAAGCTCAAATGAGATAAAGTACAGACAGACACATACATTTGACATGGTATTAATCACAGGAGGGAGACACTGCTAAGCCCCATGCCCTGCCCAGCAGAGTGTGGGTGCACTTGAAAATACTTATCATGGGGGTAGTCGTGATTCATAAGCCCTCCTTGCCTCCCTCCTGGCTTCCCACCTTCCTTGAAGCTTCCTTCAAGGTCCAGTCCAGTTAGACTTTTACTGTGCAACCCCCCCCACCACACACCATCCATGTGCCCAGCAAGAGACCGTGGAGGTGAGCGACAAGGTCTGTGACTTCAAGGAGCCTCAATCCCTTCATCTACGAGGCATCCTCCTTCGGAGGCTGTTAGAATGACCGCCCCTCCTCCTGTGTGGCAGCAGCACACAGGGGATGTGGAAGTCCTTAGGGGTTGAAGGAAGTATGGGGAAGGGCTGGGGCTTGGAATCTTGGTCTCCTTCTTACCAGGCAGCATCCGGGCTGCAGGCAACCCAGTATCGGGGCTAAAAGCACTCCGAGGCCAGACTGCCTGTGCCTCATGCTGGAGCCCCCACTCGCTGGTTACTTCACCTCTCTGTGCCTCAGTTTCCTCATCTGTGAAATGGAGGCAGTAGTAGACCTTACCTCACAGGGCTGTGATATCCTTGGGAATAATTTGAATCCAGGTAAAACACTGGAAGAATGCCTGGCAGGAAAGTGCTGTATATATATCTGCCTGTTAAAACAAATAACATCACATTAGCTTTGTGGCATGGGCAAGCCATTGCCGACCAGAGCCCTGCTTTGCAAAGCTGCACATTGGAGCTCCTGTGATGCTCCTCGTGTGAGGTGGGATAAGGTGTGCATAGTGTCTGGGCCTGGTGAGTCTGCACAGACTCCGGCTCCCTTCCTCCCTCTCACCCCTGAGTCTCGCTGGGACCCTATCTTTCTTTCCCTCAACTCCTCAAGGCCAGAGACACAGGCCTTATCTGCAGCCCAAGGCCGGTACCCGGACAGTTCTCAGAAAATCGCTGTTATATGGAGCTGGAAAAGGAGGAGAAATTGGACGTGAGGCGGGGTTTGTGAGTCTGTGTATGTCTGCATGTGGGTTGGTAGGTCCCTGTGTCTATGTGTGTGTTTGTGTGCAGGTCTACCTCTGTGTGAATGTCTGTGTGTATCTGTGTATGTCTGTGTGTGTACATCTGTCTGTGTGTGTATGTGCATATGTCTCTGTGTCTACGTGTGTCTGTATGCATGTCTGTGCATGTGTGTGTGTATGTGTGTGTGTGTGCGCGCGTGTGCATGCGTGTTGGGGCACCAGCCAACCCCAGCCCTCGCAGAGCGGCCGGGAGGACCCAGCGATCTGAGCCAGCCCAGAGGTGGGGCTGGGGGCGGGGTTGGGGGGCTGCGAGGGCCGACCCGGCCACTAGGGGTCAGTGTGCCTCCGCCGCAGGCGCCGCGGGCTGCGTACCTGATTGGGGCGGGCGCCCACTGACAGTTCCTGACAGTTTTGCAACATCTCCTGCCTAAGGTTAAAAAAAAAAAAAATTAATTAATGTATCTTTCTCCGTAGCAGAGAAGGGAGCCCAGACAACCGAAATAACAAGCCGACTCTCTTTGCAGGAGAATGCAGAAGGTGGTTAACCCGCCCCGTCCTTCGCATTCCTGGGCTGAAGGACTAAGAATCCAGTTGTGGTTTCTGCTCTGGCTATCTTGGTGCCGCCGAGGGTGCCACGGGGGAAAATCTGCTGAATTCTTCCTTTTCTATTTTCTGCCCGGGCGAGGAGGAGGGCGTTAATGCCGGCTGGCAGTTACATGAAACTGAGATGGATGGTAATGGGGTGTGTTAACAAACAAGGGCAGGAAATAAAGTGTCATATTTTCTGGAGGGTGAACCGCTCCCCGGAGACAGCAGCAGGATTTTACAGAGGAGACACTTTAAAGAGAGGAAAAAAACAAAAACAAAAACAAAAAACCACCCTGCGTAATCTCCCCCTCCCCTCTCTTCTCTTCCCTTTCTGGTGCCTCTTTGGTGAGACATAAATTCAGTCCTATCCTGGGGCTGGCTAACAGGCAAATAATTGGACACCAAAAAGGAAAAAAAAAAAAAACCCTCACTTAGATTGCTGCTAAGATATTTAGTTATTCCTTTGTCTCAGGCTGAATCTGGAGAAACAGAGGACTTCAGGACTTAGAGGGAGACTGTGACATCAGAGCGACCTGCCTGCAACCCAGTTCCTGTTTGGGAGCAGTAGCACCTATCCCCAGGCCCCCTGACTTGCAGATGGGGTACGCTGGAGGGGCCCCTGACTGCTGCTTTTGCAATGCAGGGAACAGCCTCACCCCGTTTCCTGCGTTCTTGCCACCTTCCACCATGGCACCTTCTCTTATTACTTCTGCAAGGACCCAGGCCCCCTACCCTCCCTGACTCATCCCTGCTGTCCCTGCATCACATGGCCTCTCTGGACAAAGCGCTCTTTGAAGGCCTGGCTGCTATCTGGTTCCTGGTATGCCTAGCACCCGGCGCCACGCCTGCCACATTCGTAGGTGCTTGATATGTGTTTGTGAGGGCATGTGTGGTGGTGTCCCGAAGCTCTCTGCTAGAAACTAAAATGGCCAATGTTGATGGAATACATTCCCAATCCTGAACGCTTCATGTGCTTTTTCTCATTTAATCCTTACACCATCCTTGTGAGCTGCGGGCGAGCGGGCCATCATCACCCTTATTATCATCTCCATTTTACGGATTTGGGAGTTGAGCCTCAGAAGAAGAAACTGACTTGCCCACAGCCACAGAACTTGGCAACCAGAGCAGGGTGGCTCTGATGACGGGGGAGTGGGGGGGGAGTGGGAGGATCCCCTGCTACCTGGGAGGTCCCTGCCTCAGAGTGCTGCGTGGGACCCTTGCGTGGCACTGCGCGCTTGCTAACTTGTGCTGTTGTGAAGTGGTGTGCTCCTTGAGGCCCAGGCTGTGCTTCCAGCTTCTCTGTGGCCTTCTGGAGAGAAAAGACCAAAGCAGGATGGGTTCTGAGTCCTCTGGAAGTAGGTCCCTGGGCTCGGCTTTGCTTTGTACCAAATGTGTCTCCAGTGGGCCCCCACTACTTCTAGACACTGGAGCCAGGCTCCCTGGGTTCCAGTTCCACCTCTGCTGCTTACTACCTGGGCCGGCCCCTTTACCTCCCCGAACCTTGGTTTCCTCACTTGCAAAATGGGGACAGTGGTAGCACCCACATCATCAAGCTGTGGCGAGGATTCTGTGAGTTCATGTAACGGTATTTGGTGCCAACCCTGACCGCCTGTCTGATGCATGGATCTGGAATCTGCATTCTTTGCTGCCACCTCTGAGCTGGTTTGTCCCTGTGGTGTTCCCCCAGTGTCTCTGGGCCTCACAACCCCCTCTTTTTCATTTAAAAAGTAGTCATTCCATTATAAGCAAACAATATGCCAAGCCAACAGCCAACGTGCGCCTTTGAGATGACAGGGGAGAGAGGAACACTTGGCATTCTGCCTTAGCTATCCTCTTCACGTCACTTCTGAACAACATAGAAAGCAACAAAGGATGCCCATATAAGGCCTGGTATTCAATACATTCAGCATATGGCTGCTTTGGGTGGACATACGCTTACAATTAATGAAGCCAGCCGGCTTCTCCGGACGGCTGTAAATACTCTAGGAAGAGAAACCCAAGACCAGGGGCTCAGGACACCCCGCGCGGCGGCACCAGCTCCGGCTCTTCCTGTGTACGATGCCGCATGACTTGGTCCTTGCTCCTTCCTGAGAGCTGGGTGAATCCACCACAGCCACATTTTTGTCACCGTTCCCAGTGTTCCCAATGCTGTCACCAGATACCATGTTCTCTTAAGACCAGAATGTGTGCCATTGAGTTTTCTTCAAAAGGTGCCCCAAGAGGAGTGTGGGTTGGGGTGCTCAGACTGCTTGGGAGGTGATCCTCCTTGTTATTGTCTGGTCTCCCCTATCTAGGGAGCAGGTGTTCTACTGTTGGGCGGTATACCAGGTGTGGGGATATTGGTGGGTCCCTGTCTCCATGGAAGGGCCACCTGATGGGGGGCAGCTAAAAGACAAGAAGTACTGTGACACCGAGCACGGTGCAGGGGAAGGCCAGGCTGCTGTGGAGTTTCTGTGGGGGTGAGGGAGATCTAGGTGGACTTCCCACGGTGACACTGACCAAGCTGAGGGATGAGGAAAGTGCAGGAGGAAGTTAGGCAGAAAGGGAAGAGGGCCTTGTTCCAAGCTCGTGCAAGCCCCTAAAGGGGAGGAGAAGAGAAGGAAGCCCCGTAGGGCTGCAGGAAAACAGGGCAGGGTCCGTGAGTTGAGGTAGGGAGGATGGGTCATCCAGAGCCTCGGGGGCCATGTTAAGGATTTGAGGATTCATGACAAAATAATAGGATACAGTTAAAGGAAAACAAAGTATTAGAATTTATATATATTTTAAAAAGTTGCTTGTACTGCAGTGTGGATTGGAGAAGATTAGAGAGAAGCAAAGATGACCGTGGAAAACCAGTTAGGAGTCTTTGTCATAGGGCTGGCGAGAACTGTGGGCTTGTCTGCAGAGGGCGGGAGGGCTGGTGGTAGAGAAGGCAGACGGATTCTAGGAACACTTAGGAGATAAAGTTGATAGGATCGGACGTGCGGGGCAGGGGCAAGGGGGAGAGAGGAATGATGGATGACTCCCAGGCTGTGAATTTGAGTAAAGGAGTGGATGGGAGGGCGGAATAGGTTTGGGGCAGAGTAGATTGTATGTTCGATTTTGGGCATATTGAGTTTGAGGTCCTGGTGAGACATCCAAGTGGGGGTCTGGGTAGGGTCTGCAGTACAAGGACAGGCTGGGCTAGTGACACAGCTTGGGAGCCATTGGCCATGGTTGGCATTTAAAGGCCCCAAGTGGATGAGGTGGTCCAGCTAAGTGAGCAGGTCAGTCCTGGGATGGAGAAAGTGAATGGCACTTGGGGCATTGGAGAGGTGGCTAAGGTGAGTGTCAGTAGTGGGGTTGGGCTCCCCTGCACCCAGTGTGGCTTTTGTCTGGGTAAGGCAGCTTAGGGGGTGAACCAGACTTTGTACTCTTTGGCTTTGGAAGAAATAGCAGTGACATGGGCCCTGGGAATTTCAGCCACAGGATGAGAACTTATGGTCATTTCTTAGTCTGTTTTGGGGAGCCGCCTACACCTTGTTGGGATCTGAAAGTCACAGGTCCTTTGCTGCTACTTTTTTTTGTTCTGCTAAAATTCTTGCCACCTGATCTTGCTGGAGCAAGGACCTCTCTTGGGCACGCTTTCTGTTTCTTGGTCCCTTCTAGGCAGCCGCTGGGGCAAGGGAGGGATTCTTGATAAAGGAAAGGCTTGTGTGTGTGGGCGGCGGGTGGGGGAGCTCCTGCTCTCAGCCGGTAGGTTGTCTGATTCCTGATTTGGTGTTGACCAGGAGTCAGCTGCTTTGGAGGGAAGGGTGCATGCCACTCACAGATTTGAGCGTTTAGTTGTGTGACCTGACCTTTGCCCTCTTACCTTTACACTCTGATTCTTTTTCCCAGGGGAGGTGATGTCCTCTGCTAGTGATGTGGGGGATGATTTTAACTGGTAAAGGGACAGGACATTAAAAGTACCATCAAATCAAAGAGTGAGAAACTGATTTCATTTTCAACCCTGTTTATGGAAAGGAGAAAAATCCCAGGATGTTTTTAACTTTTTCTCATCTTTCCCTTGAACAAAGAATGAACAGGTTCCTGGGGCCAGAAAGAGGCTTCAGCAGGACCCACTCTCTAGTGGGTTTTATTTTCATTGATTTTAATGTTTCCTTCTCTTTATGGAATGAGCTGTGGGTTTGCTGTCATAGCCGAGGCTGTCTGCTGCATGGCTCCATCTCTGTTTTATGGGGTTCTTTGTTACCTCAGTGAACCTGGCTTATCCTGACTGCTGCTGGAATGATGTAACCTAGTCTTTCAAAATAGAAGCATTTGAGTAATTTTACAGAATTTTACACAGCTATGGCAAAACATATAAGGGTGAGAGGATGAGGGGCAATTTTGGAGAATGATGGATGAGATCATAGAATTTAAAAAAAAAAAGGGGGTGTGTGTGTGTGCGTGACCTCACTAGGGAGATTGGCCAACTCAGTTTTCCTGGGATTGTGTTTCTGGGAGGTGGGACTTTTGGCTTTAGGACGGGGAAAGTCCTGTGCAAACTGGGATGACTGGTCAGCCTGGTCCCACGGGAAACTAACTGATCATTTTTACCTGTCTTAAGGTGGAGGGGCTGGTGTACTTATTCAGCGGAGCCTCCAGGGGGCGCTGGGTCAGATGAGGGAGTCAGTGGGTCTTGTCAAGCCTCCCTTATACAAGGGAGTTTAAGTCTCTTACCAGATGGTTGAAAAAATTAAGATAGTGAAGTGACTGATTTGTGGCAGGTGGCAGAGACAGTAAGTGGCCAAATGCAGAATAGAACCACTCCTCCTGATGGTTAGTTCCTGTTAACTTTCTTCCTCTGGATCCCCAGCTAGAGCTCGTGGTTTTTTTTTTTTTTTTTTTTAAGATTTTATTTGTCACAGAGAGAGATAGAGAGAGAGCGCAAGTGAGAGTGAGCGCACAAGCAGGCAGAGTGGCAGGCAGAGGCAGAAGGAGAAGCAGGCTCCCTGTCGAGCAAAGAGCCAGATGTGGGACTGGATCCTAGGACCCTGGGATCATGACCTGAGCCAAAGGCAGCCACTTAACTGACTGAGCCACTCAGGCATCCCTAGGCAACCCCTCGTTCTAATCTGGCCTTCCCTCCATTACCTCCGTTGGCTTTCAGATGCTTCTATAATCATGTCAACACAATGAACAATTAGATGGCATGTGTGTGAGAAACTGTCATAAGAGCTTTCTATATATTGATCTTTGATCTTCATAGGTCATTGACCTATTGTTATTTCATTACCTGCGAAAAAATGAGGGTAATGAGATAACAAGTGAAGTGAAGTCAGAGAAGTGAAGTCACCTGCTCAAAGCTGTTGGCTGGTAAGTGGCAGAAGCAAGACTTAGAACCCAGGTTGTCTGACGCAGGAGTCCATGCACGTACCCGGCAGGCTACTCTGCCCCTGAGCTGGTGGGCTTGACCAACCTTGCCTATTTTTTTATTTTTAAAGATTTTATTTATTTATTTGAGAGAGAGCACGTGCAAGCAGAGAAGGGGGGCGTAGAGAGAGAAGAGAACCTCAAGCAGACTCAGAACTGAGCGGGGCTGGATCTCACGACCCCAAGATCATAGCCTGAGCTGAAATCAGGGGTCACACTCTCAACTGACTGAGCCACCCAGGCACCCCTCAATCTTGCCTATTTGAGATGGCAAACCCCCAGAGGGCTATGTCCCAGTTTACATGGTATGCTATACTGGAAAGTGTTCAGGGGTAGCCATCAGGAGATCGGGCTTTGAATCTTGGCTCCAGCATCCACAATTAAAGTGGATTAAGTGTGTAAGATGGGGGAAAAATCACAAATAATATCTCATTTGTTTTTTTCTGTTAGGTTGTCATAAGGATTACATAGAAGTAAGTCTGTGCGACAGGGCTTTGTCAACAGCAGAACACAGAACAGATATGCTTAGTTTCTAAGATAGGCAGTGGCCCAATGAGATGCTTGTTAAAGGCACGATAATGCTGGGCTGTGAAGAGGAAGTGGGTGGGCTCACCAGAAAGGCCCTGGCTGCAAGTCTGTATGGCAGGGACATAAACAGTAGGTGCTCAATAACACTAATGCAGGGACAAAGGAAAAGTGAGAGCTGGAAGCAAAGCGTGGGGGAAACGGGATGGAAGATAGACCCATAATCCCGCAGCTGGCACGCGCTCCGCTCCGCAGGTGAGGAAACCACCACGCACGCCCAGACACCTGCGTGGGGGTCAGCCCGCGTTTCCTCCCAGCCCTGCCCTTACCTGTGGGCCCCCGGGCTGGACCGGAGGCCCCTCGGAGCCTCATGTGTCTTCTCTCACATTCAAGGTGGCGAGGATTAGATGAAATAACACCCCTACGTGCTCCGCACAGTGCCGGCACCTGGGAATCCC